GTTAAATTTGGCATAAAAAGACATTAAAATGGTTATGTTTAGAGGAGCCGGAGAATAAATTCAGGCTCGGTTCAATTTTAGATCTTCAAATTAGCTGTGATAAGTTAGAAGAGCATGAGAAGAGAATTAAAAGAGGCTCCTGAAACACTCTCTATTTTATTTAGGTTTCCTACTGCACCCCATAAATCTTCTCTGACAGAGACATTTGCCCATGACAAGGGAATAATGAAAGAAAACAATTGAATTCTTCCATGAATTTTATGTATGATAAATTGAATAATTTGATAAAAGTCTTCACCTTTTACTAATGATAGCAATTTTGGTACTGCTAGCAAAAGATGAGGTTTTCAGTTAAATGGAGAGCAGTAGAGCTGCCAAACTGCGAAGTACCTAGGGCTCACACCAGCAAAGGTTGCACAGGCTGCACTGTCAAGCCACAGGCCACCAGCTGGGCAGCCCTGTGTAGAATATTGACTAATTAAATCAAATTCCAACCCATATATTTTCTCCTAGGTGCTTTAAGTGAATATATACCAATCCATCAGTATGGATCTGCCAATATATTATTTGCAATTAATCTGCCATAGAGGTAAAAAACAGTCATATAACAGGAACATCAGTATTAGTGAATCATCATCCATTTGTCCTAATATTGTTTAAAGGCAGAAATAGAACAGAAATGCTATCGTTCTGCTAAATACCATTTATAATTAGAAAAGGCTAACATTTGAAAAAACAAAAATAGTTTACCTCAGGTAGCACATCTTCTGAAGCAGAAAAAAAGTATGTGTAAACAATTAGTTCCGAAGCAACCTCAATGTACTTTTCCTGCAAAAAATATAAGACAGAAAAACTTCTTTAAAAAAAAAAAATCTTAAAACTCGATATACTAAAAGGAAGTTTCACATCACAAAAATACAACAGAAGATACAATTAACAACAACTAAGTGAGAAACTAGAATAGAAAGAGGTCCATCTGCTCTACTGCTGCACATCTGGATACTTTTTAAGAAACTGGTGACAATAAATATATAAATAAATCTCTGGGCCAATATCATTCTGTACTAGCAGCTTATGGTAGCATTTTTCCACTTAAGCCATGGGGGGGGGGGGGGGGGGGGGGG